AGTTTGAGTTAATGTTTCTTGTTACGTCATAAAAATATTTGAACTTGATATTTTATTTTTATGTTATTGCCTATGTTCTTAATGTGGACGGGAAATAATGACTGACAACGAGACAAAGGTAATATGATTGATGGTTTAAAATTCATTGTTTTTTTTGTTCCTGGCGTTTGTGCCAATGCAAATTGGCAAAATTATATATTTTAGGATATTTAGGGGAAGGAAGGAAGAAAAAATGATTAAGATGAAAAGATGAAGGCAGTGAGTATTAAGGGTAAATGAAAATAATATACATTACCATAAACATAACAAATATAAATAAGTATATCGATTAATTTATTTCCAATTTCTCTTTTAATTTAGAAAAAAATCATATTGTTAATATAAAGTATTTCGTAAAACGTATGTAGAGTAAATTGGAATGTTGGTAAATTAAAATAAGGTTTTAAATTAATAACTTATGTGACTATAAAGAAAAATAGGATGGTTCGCATTAATGTAGATATATACTGGTTGATGACTCTACCATCTTAGTCAGCCGTGGTTGACCATGGGACCTGTACTGGCCTCCTTGGATTCAATCGACAAGCGTGCCAAGAGGCTTATAGGTGACTCGGAATTAGTAGAGGCGAAGCTGCAAAGTCTTGAACACCGCCGTAAAGTTGCTTGCTTATCGGTATAATACAGGAAATATCACGGAGAGTGTGCGATGGAATTACACGATTTAATTCCGCCTTCACCTTTCCATCACCGAGCGATTAGACGTAGGCTTGGTTTCCGTCCGTAAGTTGTGGATATTCCAAAGATTCGCGTGAAGCGTTACGATTCCACATGTGTATAGCTAACGGCCACGAGGTGGAATATCTTGCCTGCAGACTTATACCCTGAATGCTATAACTTGGGCCTTTCAGGCGAGAGTGAATAGGCATTATTTACTCGCAGGTGTACATGCTCCATCGTCGACCTCAACGTCACTTTCCACCAGGTGAGTAGGAGGTCAAGGGCTAAGTGCTTATTATACATTTCATTAAAAAAAAATACATTTTATAAAAACAAATGTTTGAATAACAAATATACTCGATTTATCGAAAAATGGGTTCATCTATATGTATTATATTCATAATTTGATACAATTTAAAGTTATATACGAAGCCAAACATTTATAAATAACTAGTTGGTGCCAGCAACTTCGTCTGCGTAGAATAAGTACTTCAAGTAACCTAATGTAGGAAATTAAACTATTTTTTCCGGATTTAAATAGCGTATATCACTACTAATATGTTTTAATTTATTCTAATTTTCATTATTTATTAATAATAAATTTCTCTTCATAAAAATTCATATAAAATAATATGTAAAACATAATGTAGCGTAAATTGGAATGTATCTTTGTAAAATTAAAAATAAGGTATTTCATTGCCAACTTTTGTAACAATAGTGAAAAAATAGGGTGATTTTCATTAATATTAGACATAACTGGTTGATGACTGTACCACCTCAGTCAACCGTGACCATAGGACCTGTAATACGCAATTTAATTCCGGAAAAATAGTTTCATTTCCTATATGTAATAATCGCGAAAACCTAAGAACTCCATAACCTAATGTACTACTAATTTTCGTAGTTTTATTGGTATTCCATGCAAACTTTCATCCCCTATGTCACCTCTTCTAATACTTATTTTTGTGTCAAAAAGTACCCTATGTCCTTCTCCTAGGTCCCATCTATCTCTATACCAAAATATTAAGATTGTTGGCAGGGTTGCCATATAAAAATAAGGAGTGAAGTTGGTGGTCTAGGCTTTATAAATAAGTGCGCGTTGACAAAATGGGCTATTTGTGTGAGTATAAGAAAGTAAACAATTAGGCGCGGCCACTCCCTGTGAACTCGTCGCGTGATATTGAAAACTAGTTTTAACCTCATCCATCTTTTGAACTACTACTGTGAAAATTATTTATATTCTTAATTGCAATCAACTGACATTATTAGTCCACTGTCGACTGAACGAATTGTTAACGAAGAGTGAATAGATCAATCAATAACGAACGTTTTATATTAATTTCTGACTAAATCAATAATGAGAGTGGAAAATAATGTTTCCCTTACGGTTATATTCCGACATGTATAATAAATGACTACGAGACTACTATTGTCGAAAGTACCGTATTGTAGTATCTATATAACGTAATACACATCACTATCTGACTCGTTAATGGAGCCCAAATATTGTTAGAACCTTAGCAGTTGGTACACATTTGTGTTTATTTAGTGCCCTCTTTCCTTCTCGGAGAATAAAAGTAAAAATGTGTTACAAATATTGAGGAAACACGGTTCAGTAGCTGTAAAAATATATTATACATATACATATTATAGAAACTATACCACAACGCCTGTCTATTATATCATGTACCCGTCACGTGTCCAACAATTTTCATACAATTTTTATGTAGTTTTAACCAAAATTTCGTTGGAGTATGTAGCAAGGTAGACTTTTCATCATATCCCTTAGATCATAGGTTCAAAACTTTTTTGCTCACCGCCCACTTACGCAAGATAAAAAAATTTCAACACCAGTGGGTGTCTCGACGAGCCATTAATTTACGGATGATGGCCTCATTGACCGGGGTTTTTAATTGTTATGAAATTTATTGTATTGCATGTAAAATAAAGTCATTTTGATGTTTTATTTAATTTCATTATTCTGAATCTGTAGAAATCCCTAGATTGAGGTAGCTATTGATAAGATAATTTTTTAGGTTAGTTGTCTCTACTAATTTTTATTATTTTTTTCTGTAACTTAAAATAAATTAAATCAATGCATATTTTATTATATTCTGAGCTAATATTTGACTTGTATAAATGAACTTTGATAGTTTTATGTTGAGTCTCAAAACTAAAACATAAGAGCATTAAAAAAACCTGAAACCATTTCCGGAAACGCAAGCAAACTTGCTTCAGGCACTTGCCGGCCGCTGCCGCGACACGCTCGCTTCGTTCGCTCAGCTCGTGCTCCTTTTTCATATACTAACCTAACTACTGAATGAAGGGCGCAACCAAGATTTTACCTACATGAAAAAAGATAATACAATATTATTTTTGAGTATCAAATATTAATTTAGTATGCTTAAACATAATGATAGTGTTACCTTGAATACAGTTCATTTATAATGTACCCGTAGATCAACTAATACAGACTGAACAGTTAATATATGTATATGTCAATCATAAAAAAATATCGTTTACTTAAAAAAGTGCACATTTACAACAGATAAATTGTCTTTGAGAATCAAATTATATTATCCCAATATTAAATAATATTCCAGGTTACAATAGACGAATATTAAATAATACTTCATGATTATATCCTACAATAGACTTTGCCACCACCGAAATTAGGTACAAAAAAGGAACTTGAAAATTACTCTAGACTATACAGCCTCAACTTATAAAGGACTAGCTGGTGTCTGCGACTTCGTTTGCGTAGAATAAGTACTTCGAGTAATCTACTGTACTGTACAACGAACGAATAAAATAAAATAAAAATTTTTATAAAAATTTGAGAAATTATTGGTTCTCCATAGAAACTTTCATTCCTTATTTCATTGTCTTGAATGTTAACAAATGGTAATTAAAAGTTAAATGTTAATGGTTTTAACCCGATTTAAACCCGGTGTTAACAAAGCGCCGGGTTAAAACCCGGGCGCTTGCCCATCTCTGAGTGCCTCTCAGATTAAAACTAGCTCTGAGTGACACTACAACTGTTATGGGTAGATGTGTCATTTACTACCAGGTACACGGCTTGTTCGTCCCCTCAATGGATATCATAGAAATAAAAAAATGTCCTGGTGACGATAGTTGTGTATCATAAGGCTCTCGAACAAAAAAAATTAATAGCCTAACGACCTACATCCCAACTCCTAAAAAGAAAGAAGATATCCATAATATTAACCTTAGAGCTAAGTTCAAACTCATGGTACCACGGTTTCGTTTAACTGTGGTAAACGATTCTTTTATGGGGAACTGTATACGTTCTTACAATAAGATTTCGGAGCATATATTAAGATTACAATTTCCTAAGTTTAAAACTTACATTAAAAGTATTTTAATTGAAAATTCATATTACAAAATTGTAGACCGGGTGTGGAGTCTAGATTCCAGACAAATATGATTCAAAGTGTCCTCTATAGCATTTAAGTTTATTTGAAAAGAGCAATCTCTAAAGTTTCTTGCCTGATCTTCTCAAGGAAGTCGGCACAGTGAACGTGCAGTAGCTTAAAAATTGACGTTTTTGAGTGTAAAAATTTTACCTACTCGGAATAAATGATTAATTGACTTTGACTTCGTAATGGCATAGCAAGCTAAATTCAGCCACCTTCCGCCATGAATGAACGTAATTTACAATTTAGATGGAAAAAAGTTAATTCAATTATTCGATTCAGAATTTCACGTTCTTTGTTGTGATGTATATAATTCAATTTACACAGACGATATTCAGGCAATAATGATTGTGTAAGGCCCGTTTCCTCTTGAGAGTGTCTGAAGGGTGCTAAGGCGATGAGAGTGGGCACTTTGTTCGGCTGTCGAATTAGCATCAAGGGTCCTGGTGACTGCATGTTTTATCCCTTCTCATCCCATATACTGAACCCTTTAACACTTCAGACTTTGAAAAGTGTGTGAGTCGCTCTTATTAGTTCTCGAGGTCCGAGGAGGTAACGCACCGATTAAGGGTTAAACATGGTAAGCGAAAAGATCATTGGTTAAATATTTTTGGAATTTGTGAGATGATTACATGCGAATATAATATAGTAAAACGGAAGAAACAAATAAGAGTATTGGTTCTTGTGCAGCTATAAATAGACCAAGGAGGAGGATACACCAACAAGAATCTTACTCGTAAATAGGATAATGACGTGCGAATTTACGCAGGGCTACCAGCAATGCTGAAAACGTCATCAAGTTAAACGCATAAAATGCGTATAAGCATTGACTTCAACTATACTCACCCCTTCAGCATCCTCGACAAGATGTGGTCCAAGCGAGGCGAGCGTGGTCCATTTGCAAGAGGGCGGGGCGCGCGAGGCGCAGCGTTTGTGGGCCTTGAATTTGCACAACTCACAGGCTAGCGCGTGCGCAGTACCTAATGCGCCCAGCGGTTCGCGGCACACGTTGCAGAATGTTGGTCGCGCGTGTGTTGCTGCGTACCTGAGCAAAACAAAAAGCTATTAAATGTTGTACAACACAAGTAACAATAAAATATAACGAACTCCACCAAACAATTCTAAGTGAAGAGATTGGTGTATAAATACAGAAAATATAAGTTTCAAGTCTTATTTGAGCGAAGCTGACGAATGCACTTGTTCCCTTTTTCGTATATCTTGGTGGGTATTCAATCCAAGAATGTGCTGATGATCAAGTACTCGAACATTCTGGGGACTCTTCAACCTTCCTGGCGGCGATGGTTATTCGGTGCAGAGTATCTGTGTATAGCGATCTGGTTGGCCTGCATGTCGAAAGTGACGGGGTATTTTTTTATGATATCAAGTGGCGGGACGAACAAGTCGTGCACCTGGTGGTAAGTGACAAGCCTGTCCATAACAGTTAGTGCCGAGTAGTAGTAAGATTTGAGAGACATTGCCACTGCGATATGAGTTGACAGTCCCACGTGCCTGTAATTTCACCAGCACCCTTACCTTCAAAATCGGCACACAGTAATGCTCACATTACTGCTTGGCGGCAGAAAAAGGTAACGTAGCAGCATTTTCCTGGATGAACTATTTGACAAGGATCGACAAGGTCGTAAGAACTGCCCTGGGTCGATAGCTCTTACATGTGCTCAGATAATGGTCCTTGAGGGACATGTAATTGGTAGCAACATCAATCGAGTGGTTCGGGTCGTGAGGGGCGGAGTCAATGTAAGTTTTCATGAATTGGACGATTGTGGGGAGCTGTAAACCTATATGGATAGTTGATGTGCAGGCATCACGAGTTTATTATGAATGAGGTCATTCATAATAAACTCAGGACGGTGAATATAAACAGGGTTGCCCTGAGCAAAAACGACAATAACCAAAGTCGCGATTGATGAATGTAAGTTGCGTAGTCTACTTATTCCTAAGGGAGAGAACACACTGCTTATTGTGGAAAAGAAAGCGGCTCATGAGGTCAATGGGCTCATGCCAAAGTGGGCGTGGTCGTGGACGGTCTGAACACGATTTCAAGATAGCTTCTTGTCAAGTGTAAATTCCAAGGTATTTGATCGTACTTCCCCAAGGATTTGCTGAGTCATATTTTTAATAAATGTATAGAAGATGGGATATTTCCTGACAAGCTGAAGTTATCAATCATAAAACCACTTTTCAAAAAAGGTGACAAATTTTGTCTCAGCTCGTATAGACCTATTGCATTGATACCGGTGTTTTCCAAAATATTCGAAAAAGTCATATATAATAGTTTAAGCAATTACTTTGAAGGCAATAATATATTCTGTTCAGAACAAAAAGGATTTCGAAAAAACAAATCTATTAACTTGGCTATCTATGACTTTTTGCAGCAAATTTACAAACGAGTTGACACCAAATTGCCTGTACTAGCCTTGTACATTGATCTAACAAAAGCTTTCGATCATGTTGACCATAAGATACTATTAAATAAACTAAATGCATATGGGGTAAGGGGTAATGTTCATAATCTTTTAAAGTCATACCTAACTGACAGATTACAGTCCACTGTGATAACTAAATTTTGCTTTAACACCAAGACCGAAACTGAATATTACTCTAACACTAATAATGTCAAATGTGGAGTGCCCCAAGGCAGTATTCTGGGACCACTATTATTTTTAATATATATCAATGACTTTCCAAGGTCAATTATGCATCCTATGGTATTATTTGCAGATGACTGCACAGTAATTTGTAATAGTGAGAATGAAGTTAAAGACAGTTTGACGTGTATATTAAATTGGCTAAAATTAAATAATCTTAAAATCAATTTTGATAAAACCAAGTTAATGAGTTTTAGACAAAGAAATCAATATAAAATAAAGAACATTGATTTCCTCGGTAAAAATATCGATGAAACGAATGTTACGAAGTTTCTGGGATTACATGTTGATAACAAATTAAAGTGGAGTTCTCAAATTGAAAAGGTTTGTTCAACACTGAGCAAACAGTCGTATTTTCTGTTTAAGCTGAACAAAGTTGTTGAGAGAGAAGTAGTTCTACAAGCTTACCATGCGTACGTAGCTTCTAGTTTAAGATATGGGATAATGTTTTGGGGAAATGCTTCAGGAATTGATTCCGTACTCCGTGCTCAAAAGAAGTGTGTGAGAGCTATTTGCAAATTAAGGCGAACAGACAGCTGCAAGCCTTACTTTAAAGAACTTAATTTATTAACATTACCAGGATTATTTATTTATGAATGTTCTATTTTCATCAGAAAGCACCCAGAAATGTTTAAGAAAGTTGCACGAGCACGTAATTGTGACAAATTATGTATAGCATCGCATAGAACTACTTTATTTAGTAAAAGTGCATTTGTCATGGCGCCTAAAATTTATAATAATCTACCTAAGGATATTCGATTAATCAGTAATTTTAATGAATTTAAAAAGAAACTTTTATATTTCTTATTAAATAATACCTTTTACTCCGTGGCCGAATTTTTTGACATATAATTTACTGACATATTTTACCTAAATTATTTAATTAGACATGTGAGTAACATATAAACATTTTATTTTTATTATTGTAATGTGATTTGATATATTTTTTTATTAATTTGTTATTGTAGTTATAATTAATTTAGTATTGTATTTGACATTTATTAGAATTTGAATTTAATTGTACCTATATAATTATTTGCATGCCAACTATGGTAGAATAAGCTGGACTTACCTAGAATTAAGAACACAATGTACCTTATTCTGACAAATAAATAAATTGATTGATTGATTGATTGATTGATTGATTGATTTGTCGACGAAATATGGAGATAAAGGTGACACTTTGTACTTTACGACTGAACGGGTTGTTTGTAGTAAAAAAGACTAACATTAGTTTATATATCCCGGTCAAGACAACATATAAGTTACGAATCGATTGCGTATCTCAGGATACAATTAAGACTATTTAGCGGATTGGTCACAGAACGACTGTTATCAATTATTGTTTCACTATTGTTCGATTGTAGCTTTTGAATATAGGTACCCAATGTTACGTCATTGACAAATTTTAAGTTTATACTGTACTGGAAATGTAGTCATGCTAAAAGATTTCAATATGTGCTTGACTATTTGACTTGTGTACGTCATTAGATTTTAAGTTCTAGAAGGTCAACATAGCTCAAAATATTTCGTGTAATAATGTAGCCATCATTGGTTTTTTTTAGATCTAAATCGCATATGTTTGTTTTTCAAAACATAGTAACGGTCCAGACCCTTTGTAAGTCCCAAGGTATTGTGATCGTAGAATCTAGCTACGGAAATTTATGCGTTACGGTTGAAAGTACTTTGATTGGACACACTATCCCACCTAGGCAAGTTTCATACACCTCAGGTCTTTGAATATTAACGGATGTTTTGAGTAAAAGAGATACACTCAATTCATTGTAATAAACATTTATGAGTGTTCCAACACCATCCTGTCGAGTCGTCCCTCGCTCAAATAGAATTTCCAACGTTAAATACAACGCCGGGTATTCTACATCACTGATTTCGTTTATTTGACCGACGCATTTTCTCATTTTAATTTTTTTCCTTCAGGTCGGGTCACGTAGGGTATTTGAATGTGGAACAAGGGATTACTTCCGCACGGCTTGCGGCTCCACCCGATTTAAATACTACGTGATCGTCGTCTTCAACAATTGTAACATTTCAGTGACTTAGGCTGAACATTGCGAAAACACATACATATATTGAGCAATGGCATGACACTAGTAAATATTTAAATATATTTGGCACGGTAAGCTAGAAGACGTCGGTTCGAATCCGGCTGGATCGAAGGATTTTTTTCTGAGTGTTCGATCTTTGTATTAATAATAATATATTACACTATTAAATAAATAAATAAATAAATAAATAAATAAATATATACACTGCTGCAATATGGTCGCTATTGTTTTGGAGAACTAAGTAAACATCTCGAATTCGTTGTCGTTCATCTAGTGACCACTAGATGGCAGCACATTGATTGAAATTTCAATATAAAATCAAAACGTAACTTGAAATAATAGGTATCGAGTTTCAATGATATGCTAACATGGCAAAGTGTACTTTGTAACTTATTTTTAAGTTAGAAACTATAACAATCGTTATCAAGGTATCATAGTGTTTCGAATTATGAATGTCTGACTTCTATTGATTTTTTTCTTTCGTGGATGTAATTGTGATTTTAATTTTCAAGTTACGTATGTATATTTGTGATTGTTTAGTAACAATACATCTCACTAATGAAACGCGATGAAATGTGCTCATCGAATAAAGTACACAATCCTTGGATAAACATGTGAAGTCTCCAAACCGTACCCGTAAGGTGTCGTCGTAACAAAATTACTCCATTTACTGTTCCATATTGCAAAACCTTATCTGGCTCGAATTCGCCTAATTGCAAGGTTGTGTAGGACAGTAAATTACAGTGACTTTATTGATAATCACCTTGACTATTGACACGCAAAAAAATATTATTCAGTAAAATTTTACATAAAAAATAATTGAATATCAATTCAATAAAAATGTAATACAATGAATAGCGACATCTCTAGCCAGGGCTGGTAGCTGTAAAGGTATCTAACTGGGTGTCGAAATACTTAAGATTTCTCATAGATGGCGCTACGGGTAATAAGTTATTATATTCAGTCAAAATTTTCTAAAAAATTCATGTCGTAAAAGTAGTGCACGCATCAATTTCCAATCGTATAGTTATTTGTCAAAATTGTAATTGTTAGCTTTTTTTAATATTTTAGCTAAGCTTTGTTACATTTTAGAGCATGTTGCGTTTACCTCTAAGTGTTTGTGGCAGTTAGATCGCGTGTAAGGGTTATGATAAGATACAATAAGTAATATTGTAAACCGCCTAAACCCTCTTCTTAGAGGAGAGCCAAGTCCAGTAGTGAGACGTACAATGGGCTGATGGTATAAAAGCACAAAAGCTTTACACAACTTTTTAATCAAGTTACAATGCATTTATTATGTATTATTTTTAGCAGCAGTGGAGTTCCTTGTGAAAGAATTCGTCCAGGGAAATACAAAAGGAACAAGTTTCTAATAGTAAAGTATATAGGCGATTAGAAAAAATAAATACTATTGCGTGCTTACTGCACGAACCAACACTAAAAAGTAAGAAAAAATATAACACCAGAATAAACGGGCAAAGTATAAAGAATTTTTACAAAAAAAAACAAGATGTCCTTGTACGTGTATCCACGTTATTTTAATTTTTAAACTTGAAGAAATAGAAAAACAGCGGTGTATTATTTTGTTCGTAAGTAATTCATTTTCGAGTTTTTGTGTGTGTTTACATACATACATACTAATATTACAAGTGGTTGTAACTGTTGTAAATGTGGGTCGCGGTAACTAAACTGGCATACAAATACGACTCACCATTGATGGTCACCAGAAGACAGTCGCGCAACCAAGTCAGCAACGTCAGCGCCGCGATGTAAGGCGCCACGTAACGCTCCAGCCCAGCCCTCCATTTCGGCACGACTATCCGCGCACAGAACTAGGCAACGACTTGCTGTTATCACCTGGAAAGACACATTCAATTTAGTCTCAGCTGTGTGGCCTCTATTTCTGATTTCCAAGACATTTTCATTCATTTACATTGTTGTAGTGTTTGCAAGGCAGATCTTCAATGAAACACTAATCCATTAAACTTAAATAATCTTTATCTACACACATATCATAAACCCTCTATGATGTGTTCAAAAACCGCAAATTACGAACAGCATAAAGGTAAACTGTTTTGTTACAATAAATTTCTTATCTGTGAAAATGTTATTATTGCTTCATAATAACATCGATTCGATGTTATTATTACATTCAAATTTCGAACATCTCTGAAAAACAAAACAATTTGATTGGACCTCAATTCTAATATCAGTCGAGATGAAGTTTTATTCGAAATGAAATGTGAATAGCCATCGAGTGAAGTGAGTGTGAAGAGCCATATATTACTGGTAACACATTAGCGATACAGCTCTTATAAATATTAACTCTCGTTTGCACTGAAATATAGACAGGCCAACTACTGACCTGTGTGTACGTCTCCGTATATTCCAAAAAATATTCTGTATTTATTGTAATACAGATAATATCTGTAACAATGCCGTGCCGTTCTTTTCGGTGGTGTGGGAAAAACAACAAAACATCTAATTACAAAACAAACGGAATCACATTTCACCGATAATTAAATATTAAATTTTGCAATTTTCGTCTTTTATAGTAAAGCTCAAGTTAATTGGTCGATTTGAAGTGGAACTCGGGCTAGCCAATCGGCAGGCTTATTACCGATCTTTAGCGACCAGTCGTTTTAGCAATAGTTGCACGATTATCGCTGTCAAAACATAAATTCGTATTACGGAACGAACAATTGCGACCAGTCGACTACAGCGCCTCTAGCGAGCAACTAATAAACTAAAACTGCATGAAAATGATTTGACAGAAAGCGACCGGTTGCTTTTTCGTATTACCGAACGACATTTACAGCGACGCAAGAGCAATTAGCGACGGACTTTTGACAACTAGTGCCACAGTGGTTTTTTGGTGATTGTTGATTGATCGCTTTTTCAAATTACATTGTTATTTCATCTCCTTAATCGTAAGTAACAACTGATTTTACTTAAAAATAGTTATTTATTGATTGTTTAGTGAAATGTTGTTAATATTCAGTCATCTTCTGCTTGTAGCGTGTGTATAACTGCGATGGTGCGAGTTCTCATTTTATTGGACTATTTAAATGGACAAAAGAGTGTTACATGGAGGAACGCTGCCATTCTTCGGTGGAGAATCCGAAATAATGCCATCAGCAGGGCCTTTGAGATTTCGGACTTCCGCGTTCAGGTCTCATAGGTTATCCAAGGCATTCTTCAAAAGGCCATGAATTGACTCCTCTTTTGGCTCGTCGACAAAGGACAAATAAAATTTCCGTGCAATGTAAGGTAAGTAATCTCAGGAGAATGTGACCAAATGACGAAAAATAGAAGTAAAGTTATGTTAGTTAACTTATTTTTGACGAAACCAAGTTAAACTTCACTTTAAATGCTCTAAAAGTAACAGTGTTCCTGATAAAAGATTTACAAAAATACATTCAAACAATTTATTCACCACACAAAATATTAAACATTTGAAAAAGTTATGTGACATAAAAATTACAACAATTAACAACCTTAACAATTACAATTACTGTGTGGCAGTGTGTACATGATGAAATTTTTACTTTATGTTGCAGGGGACTCGCAATATCCATTATGTTTGTGGCTATTAACACCAGTCTCAAATGCTGTTCCTGACAGTGCAGAAGAATATTATATTGATTTTCACTGTAGAGCCAGAAACACCATTGAACGGGGCATTGGGGAATTGAAAGCGATGTGAAGATTTTTGCATTATCATGATAACACTGTTACAGAAATTATGAAAGCCTGCTCGGTATCGCATAACATTGGCAATGGACTTACACCAAGAAGAGTCTACCAAACATTCTACGAGACAAATTCCTGCAATAACAGCTCTGAATTCATCCCAGTTCGAGTTAGAAAGAGGCCACAGTCAAAAGGCAATTATAATACTGAGGTTATGGAGAAGCAGATAAGAATGTTAAGCCATTGGTCCTCAGAAAAATGATGTACGTATATGTACACAGCACTATGCACACAATTTTATATTGTATTACTAGATAGTTAGACAGTGTTCTTCTTGTTCCATATAATATCAATATTTGACTTGTTTGTTAAAAGTACTAGACAGTAAGTAGTTAGTAAAGTATTTTCTTGTATTATTAAGAGCTAAAGATTCATGCAGTCTATGGTCCAACTACATCTATAACTGAGTTTTGTATAATAATATATTAAGGATGCTGTTGCAACTGCCATGTTTCTACAGTGCATCAGGAATGTTTGCTAACTCTCATGTAGACGGCTTTGCAGCTATTATTACTATTGCAAAAAACATTGGCTTCCTTGATGTGCTGAATTTGTGGCAGCAGTAATGGCCTCCCAAGTGTTATTGCATTTAGGGTACAGGGCTAGGTTCATGAGCACTGGACTTGAATGCATATCACTGTGAGGAAAAATAATTGTTTCTAATACTAACTCTATTTTAAAGTGTTCTGTTACTAACCCTTATGAATGAATGTATGAAATAAAAGCCTTAAATTGAATTGTTTACTTTCATAAAACTTCCAATTGGTCCTTCACTCATAATAAGACCAGTGCAAAATGTTGACAGATGGGATGGTAGGAGATGACTGAAAGCAATTGTACAAAATGTTAATTTATGTAATTTTACAATGCCAGTTGAAAATTAAAAGGTGTTTATTAATTGCCACTTTTTATTCATACCTAATTAAAATTTTACTACAATAACACAACAAAATTATACTAAGAATAATAACAATTAACCACTAGTTTGTCTTAATTATTTTTTGAGTAATTGTACAATATCCACTAGGGCTTGGACTGTATATGAGCGGCCTCAGCTTGAAACATAGCAGCTTTGGCATTGGTTTTAGATACATTTGAAATTATTTTCATTGCTCTACTTAAATTTTCTTCACTCTTAAGTGTCCATTGTGCATCACTTTTATTTGTTCCACTGCCAAGAGCATTTATTTGGTGGCTAATTCGTTCCACAGCCTTTCAGATGTCTCTTGTGACCTTCCACATAGACTAAAGCCTTTATCAAATGCTGGGTGCCTTAGAAGATGGTCAAATAACATTTCTAACTGATCATTTGAGACGCGACTTTCCATCTTCACACAGTCTGAATATCACGACACCAAAACAGTGGTAATCTGAACGAAATGAATCCATAGAAGCAGAACTCAATAACGTAGACATAGTTGGCATTTTTATTATAGTGATTTATACTTTTTCGTTGAACATTTAACTTTCAAGTGTTAGTGAATCGTCACTGCAATTCAAACTTTCTTGGGTAAATAAAAAACACGAAACAACACATTTCTTGTTTGAAACACTTAAAATACATTGTCTGTCTACAATCTAAAAATATATTTTTGTTGTTACAGATCAATTTAAGATTACGAAAACGTAAATATAATTCTTTCTTGTTGTTTTTTGACGTTTGTGTTTGAAATTGATTGCCGTTCAGTTGCGAGTGGCGCTGGTTTCCATACAATTTAGTCGCAAATGCACCAAGCGAGCGATCAGTTTGCGATTTACATCCGTAATACCAACTTAGCAATCGCAACTGGTAGCAATCGCGTTGCTATTGTACAATTAACAACCAGTTGCTAAAGTTCGGTAATAAGCCTGCCGAGCGCAGTTGTCACAGTAATGATATGGCAGAATAGTTTTCAAACAAATTAAATTACATTTCGTCTCTATTTCTGGTTATATACTCGATGTGAATAGCAAACAATTTTGACAATTTCAAACGTTACTTGATATCGAACGATATGATAGTTGGAGCCGATTCTAGTATGTCTATGATTTAAAAATAAAAACCATGGTTGTGTGACATGCGTGAAAAAAGTTTTTATATGCCGCCATTTCGCCAGTCGTAACATGCGGTTCCTGAACACTTCACAGAGAGCTTATAATATGTGTGTAGATAAAGCCGTGTATGTAACTGTACATAATTAGGCATTAAAACACTCGTGAGATGTTTTTATGAAACTCGCCTGTTGAGTCGGCTCGTTTCATAAACCCACATTCGTATTTTAATGCCTTTCATTATGTGACGGTCACATAAACTACTATTATTTCATTGGTGAGCACATTACATTTGAAATCGTCATATTGATTAAGATTCTTAAGAATAACAAGTAAGAAACTTTTTAGAGCTCCTTGTGAAAGAGTTCGTCCAGGGAAGTACAGTCACCTTACCTATTTCTGCCGGCAAGCCGGTTTCGAAGTGAAAGGGTGCTGGTGAAATTACAGGCACATGGGACTTGTTAACTTATGTTTCAGGGTGACGGGCGCAGAGGCAGTGCCCCTAAGATCTTTACGATTTAAAGCTCTGAGTGGCAATGCAACTGCTATGGACAGGCGTGTCGCTTATCATCAGGCGCATGACTTGTCCGTCTCGTCACTTGGTATTATAAAAAAAATAAAATCAAAATAAAAAAGCTCTAGGTGTTCATTTGTGTAAATAATCAATTGTACACATTTATCATTTACAATATGTATTTTAAACATCATACATAGATTTTTGCTATTCAAGTATGCAGAAGCTGTACAATAATCACCTCTAATATAAAGTTTTTGTTTCACTATAATTTTACAACTTTTGAATAGCATATTTTGAATATCCACTGAATTTTGTTATTGAAGAATTTGTACCTTTGTGAAGACGACAGTCAAGAACAGGTAATTTATTTTTAATCACTATTTTTCATAAAAAATAATCACTATTCTTCGTAACTGCCTCTGTGGCCGAACGGTTACCATGCCGGACTGCCATGCAGATGTCCCAGGTTCGATTCCCGGGCCGGGAGAAATATTGGTATGGCCTACATTTATTTCTCTCG